AGCACGTGCCCAAGAACCCCAAACTTTCAAGATAATAAGGTCAGGTTTCCTACCTGTCCATAATTCATATGGGATCAAGTCTATAAATTTAGTTGGAACACGATTAATGATATATATTGCAGTGTTTTGAGCCTCACCCCAAAAATGAGGTGATAAATTTGAATGGCTCATCATGGACCAAACCATGTCCATTAGACTTCTAGTTCTCCTTTTAGTTACATCATTTTGTTGTGGTGTATATGGCATAGTTGTTTGGTGAATTATACCATGCTCCTTACAAAATTCAGAAAATAAGACGGAGCAATATTCACCTCCTCTATCTGTTCAAAGAATTTTAATATGTCTACTTAACTGATTTTCTACCTCAGCTTTATATTCTTTAAATGTTTCTAATGCATCTGATTTCATACTAATTAGGTATACATATCTATAACGTGAATAATCGTCTATAAATGTTATGAAATATTTCAGGCCTCTATGTGTTTTCACATTTAATGGGCCACATATATCAGAGTGAACAATACTAAGTGGTTCACTAGACCTTTTCCCTTTAGAAAAAGACTCCTTAGTTAATTTACCAGAAATACATGGCTCGCATGTTTTGAATACAATTTCTCCTAAATTGGGGAGCAAGCATCTTTTAACCATTTGACTCATTTTATCTTTATTTATATGTCTTAATCTTAAGTATCATACATATAGATCATCCATACACATAAAAGCATCAATATAACCAGAAAATGATGAGTCTTCGTTAATATTCAGTCGGTATAAATTGTCAACTTTAGTACCGTACACCAAAGCTCTAGAATGCTTCTCAATGGTAACTCGACCAGACTTGAACCTTATTTCAAAACCTTTGTCGTCTAACCTAGGGACAAAAATCAAATTGCGCCTCATATTGGGCGCATATAATGTATCAGTCAATAAGAGATTTGTCCCTCCTGATAAACATAGCTTGAAAGTACCAACACCTAATACATCGCAGTAGGTGTCATTTCTCATATAAATCCGCTGGTTATCGGTTGTAATCTCTTCCTATTCTATGAATCCGTCCTTGATCCTCGAGACATGTCGAGTAGAGGCTGAGTCGACCCACTAATTTCTCAAGTCATGATCGGCAACTATTGATTCTAGGACTACGCAGATTAAATCCTTTATCTTATTTTGATTATTTTGAGTAGGGTTGTTATTTTGGTTCCTATTTTTATTTTTCAGCTTAAGACAATTAAACTTGACGTGCCAATTTTCTTATGATAAAAACAGGTCTTCTCAACCTTATTCTTTTGATTTTAAAAATTTCTCCCATTTTCTTTATGCCTATTATTTTTCTGATAATTGAAAGGTTTCTTGGGGATATGAGAAGATGAACTTTGGGCAAAGTGGAGCTCATTTGACTTCTTCATCATTCTTCTCTCAGCTTCAATACTAAGATGCATGGGAAGATTTAACATGATTATCCCTTGTGTAGAATGATTCAATGCAATTACAACAGACTCCCAAGATGGAGGGAGACTGTTAAGGACAATGGACACTTGCATGCGTTCGGGGATTGGATTTACAGTTACAGCAAGGTCCTTTGTAAGCACTATCACTTTATTGACATGCTCGGTCACTGAGTCTATTTCTTTCATTCTGTAAGAATTGTATTTTTCTAACAACAATTGTACATGGGTCTCAGAAGTGGTCCCATACTTTTTAGATAGGGCGCACATCATACTTTGAGCTGTGGTGTAATCCTCAAAGACTCTAATTAAATCATCTTCCATAAAGCTCAACATAGTAGTCCTAGCTATTTTGTCATCTTCTTACAACTTTTCAAGTCGCCTTCTGGCTTGACCATTGGCATTAGGTTCTAAAACTGGTAGTTTTGTTTCTGAGACATAATCTACCTTATCGTGAAAAAGAATATATCCAATTTTTCTTTTCCACATAGAAAAATTAGTCTCATTGAGTTTTTCTGACGTGACTAGCCTAGATGCCATTTTAAATTTTTAGATAATACCTTAAAGTTAAAAAAAAAAAATTTGTATTTAAGAAAGGGTTGTCTGCTAGTTAACTTAATAGGTTTGTCGACTCTCAATGAGTTGATACCTCAAAAAAAAAAAATTCTCGAACAATTTATGTTCGCACTGCTGTGATGCAAAAAAATAATAATAAAGTAAGGCAACAACTACTTTATGTCAAATATTGCATAAAATAAGTTTCATGAATATATGAATATTTTTGCCCAAGAGAGAGAGTCTACAATGATATTTTGATATTTTCAACAAAAATATGGCATTGCATAATCATAAAAATAATGAATTCACAAAATCAAGATCATGAAATTTTTTAACTTAAAAAGACCCAAGCATAGGATAATTATGCAATGCAATGACAATTATTATGCAAATAAAATATGTAGTAAATCCCTAAATTATAAGCCACAAAAAAAAATGCGTGCAAATGATATAACAACCTTTACTTGAATAGTTGTTGTGTGCATAACAATTTTCAATAATCCAATAAAATTATGCACTAATTTTCAGCAATAAAATATGGAAGAAAGAAAGGTGCAAGCCAACTGGTTTTCAGCAATTATGTATGTCTTTATCTTTCTCACTCTAAATTTCAGCAACCTTTTATTAATTTATTTTTTATTTTATATTTTATTGAACAATACCTCTTAAATTTATTTATTTTATCAATTCTCTATTTACTCTATTGAAATTTGTCTTCTCTGATAAAGTTGATTTCATAAGCCATGAGTCAATTTATTATTTATGCCATGAGTCAATTTATTATTTATTCGTTATTATCTCTAAGATAATTGTTCCATTGTTAGGTTTATCTTATTGTTGTAAAAATTAGTTGAAATCCTTTGATATCAATCTGTTTCTATTTCCTCTCATAAATTATTATACCTTTTGCAAGTTAATTGGCGTCCTTTGTTACAGCAACAAAAGCAGTCGCACTTTGATTTAAACCATATGCACTTTTGATATACGCACTTTGTAAATAGGAGATTTCTATCAAAAGGTAGAGAGAAACATCATATACTTTTTATTCTCTCAGGCCTTTATTTCTTGCTCATCATCAAGGTAACATTTTTTTTTAATGCTGATTTAAACTTACAGGAAACCAAATAATCGATTTCGATCCTGGGACCTGTGGGTTATGAGCAAAAATTAAATAAATAAATAAATAATTGAATAATGAAACCTGGGAACGGTAGGGTACAAGCCCACCACGCTTCCACAACCCACTTTGATACCAATGTTGAAAAACTTGAGGGAAGAGATGGACCCACTCCTAAGATTTGTGGGCAGAGTCATGAGACTATCAATCGCAAAGATCAGGCTTTTACCAGAACTGTGAGAACTCTGTAAATTTATGTGTACCTCTCCATGGCTATGAAACCCTCTTAAACCTCTCCACTATTCGGCTTCCTCCTGAAATCTCTCAGAAAACGTGGTCATGTAATCCTGAAAAATGGGTATAACGACACTTTCTCTCTCTAAGAAGCTTCTCTTTTTTAATAATAAGCATTAAATTATAAGAGAGAATTATTGCACATTTAAAAGCCCCATGGCTTCCTCCTGAAATCTCTGATAAAACGTAATCATGTAATCCTGAAAAATAGATGGTTACTTTCTAATCGTTAGATAACGACACTTTCTCTCTCTAAGAAGCTTCTCTTTTTTAATAATAAACATTAAATTATAAGAGAAAATTATTGCACATTTAAAAATCCCATGGCCATACACACGTACCAACATAATTTTTAACGTATCAAATATAAGCAAAGGTTATCTATTTATAGATCATTATAAATTGGTTTTTTGAACACCAAAGACTGATAAATGCCAAAAGATTTCTTACTTCGCTGGAGGATACTATCCATTACTCCGTCGGGCAAAACACATACTAGAGATTCTTAAATCTCAAATGTTGAAGATGCATTCCCTACTACCAATAGATTAATCTCAAGGTAAAAAAAACAAAAAACAAAAAACAAAAAACAAAAAACAAAGAACAAAACAAAAAACAAAAAACAAAAACAAAAAACAAAAAACAAAAAACAAAAAAACAAAACGGAAGTAAACTCTTTGTATACTAGGAAAAAACTAATGCCTGAAGATTGAATACAGACCGTCCAAAGGCTTTATGTAAATGTTACTCAAAATTTAAATTTTTTCTTTTGAAAATAATCATATGGGATAACAAACCCTCATGTATTTCCCAAAATTTTAGACCAAAAACCTTTTACATTCTGCTCCCATGGGAGCACGTATACGCTAAATTTCCCCCCGGGATTTTAAACCATCATCGCAAAATTTGAGGTAAAAGATTACACTTGTAAACTGGTCTTTCACGAGTCAGCTTCCACTCAACCGCACACCCCCTCATTTCATAATAATTTATCGTAGGAGAGTGTATAATGTACTCCAGCAGGAGTATATTACCCCGCAAGAGCATACCATATGCTCATTCTCCAGCACGATTTACTACCTTCGCAGATAACTACTCTCAGAGGATTTTTACAATCTAAAGTTTTCCGCTGATCGTTTTCAAGAGGCAAATTCGGATTTCGAATTCTTCAATGCATGGTCAATTGAACAATCCTTATCCAATTGGATATTCTTTTCAGGCACAAAGAAGGCGTTTTTACTACTTTGTTCTTGGTAAGTGGCCAGTTGAACAGGCTACATTATACTTCCAAGTGAGTTTTATCCGATGGATTAAATGGAAAACACGGTCCTAAAGGGGCGGAAGTCAATAATTGACTGATAAAAAAAAGAGGCATGCCTTGTAACCGCCGGTTGTCATGGGCAATTCTATGGTAAGAATATTGGTTTCATAGATGCCTTGTCTATGAAAGCTTTGTCTAAAAGGCAAAGAAACCCATTACTGTAACCCAGGAGGATTATATTAGGGCGGACGGTTCTGCCCCAATCGTCCGGAGTAACCTAAAGATCATGAAATTGAAAAGCCAAAGCAATGAATGATATCCAACTTAATGAATAGAACACTCCATGTATCATATCCAAATTTAGGTATTTTACTTTAATACATGTCAAAAGAATACGTGTGTATGATCTAAAACATGAATTTTGCCGTGAAAAACTCTACCCAAACCAAAAAGTGCAGCGGTTCAAGGTAAGACCCTAGCCCCCGTTACATGCATCCCTAAAATACAAACATTATGTTCTCTAAAAGATAGGTAGACACTAAAGCAACAACGTAATAGCTAGCTAGCTAGCATCTGGTAATCATTGAAATATAAGTAATAGAAATCATAGGGCCAGGGGCTCACTCGAAAACTAGCTCATAACTCCGCTTTCGCCTTGAGATGGTTCTTGAAGTCCATGATATCACCCTCCCACCTTGTAACCACTTGGTTCTCACACACCCAAATCTCCTTGGCCACCTGGTTGATGAGACGGAAATCGTGACTAACGAGCACCATCCCCCCATCCCACTCATTGAGGGCTTCAGCAAGCGAATCAATGGTTTCAATATCCAAATGGTTAGTTGGTTCATCGAGCAACAATAGGTGTGGCTGCCTCCAAGCTAACCATGCGAAAATGACTCGGCTCCTTTGCCCATCTGATAAGTTATTCATAGGCATCACCTGAGCTTTTCCAGTAAGCCCGAATTTTCCAATGGCTGCCCTCATCTTCTCCTCCTCATTGCCCGTGTATTCCTTCATCATGTACTGCAAAGCGGACATTTCAAGGTCGAGCTTCTCAGCCAAGTGCTGATGGTATTGAGCAATTCTCAAATGGTTATGCCTCCTCACCATCCCATCCTTGGGCTCTAGATCCCCAGCCATTAGCTTCAATAGTGTGCTCTTCCCTGCCCCATTAGGACCCACCAAAGCGATCCTCGAGTCTAGGTCAACCCCGAAATCCAGCTTCTTGTATATGATGTTTTCCGGGGTGTACCAAAAGGCAATTTCAACGAACTGTAAAACAGGAGGGGGGAGCTTACCCACATCAGTGAAGCGAAAGACCAAGACTTTATCCCTCACCACCTTCTCAGTGAGACCACCACGCTCCATTTTCGCAAGGGTTTTCTCCTTGCTTTGAGCTTGGCGTGCGAGCTTTGCAGAACCATGACCAAAACGAGCAATGTACTCTTTCATGGAGGCAATCTGCTCCTGCTCCCACCTGTATTGCTTCATCTGGTTCTCCTCGAGCTCTTGGCGCGTTTGAACGTATTGATCGTAGTTACCAGTGTAGAGCTTCAGCTTCTTGTTCTGCATGTGGATGATGTTGGTGCACACCCCATTGAGGAAGTCCTGTGAGTGGGAGACCACCACCAGGATGCGATCAAAGTTCTTTAGTGTCTCCTCCAACCAAACACATGCTTCTAGATCTGTTGAGACATCACATTCAAAGAAAAATGCATTTTGGTCATTTCTCTTGTACACTTAAGAAATCCCAGAGAGTCTTTGTAATTTAACATTTATGAACTATAGGTAATACCTCATTTCTCAGCTAATGAGGATAAGTTCATTTTATCGAAGTATCATGTTCTTATCAGATATTGAATAATTTTGACACAAAGGCAACAAAAGAAACACTAAGCACAAGGTCTCTAGTAGATGCTAGATCATGTTCATGATGCGAAGTGTCTTTTAATCTAAAAAAGCAATACACTTAATAGTGTGGACATGAATACAATTAATTGAGAACTTCGTTACCAAGATGATTTGTGGGTTCGTCTAGTAATAGAATGGTGGGATTCATGAACAAAGCTCTTGCCAACGCGATTCTCATACGCCACCCACCAGAGAAATCTCTAGTCTTCTTGGCCTGCATCTGTTTAGAGAAGCCCAGACCATACAAGATCTCTGCTGCACGCTTCTCAGCCGTCGATGCATCCATTGCCTCTAGACGCTCATAAATACGATCAAGAGCCTCTCCACCACCATCATCCTAATAAAAGGGAAATAATAAATATTTAAGTTTTCAAAATCTTATTTCCAAGGCAGAAAGAAGAACAATGGTGAAACCCCAAACTCATGTTCAAGCATTCCTGAAGCTGACCTGTGCAGCTAGTGTCTCGACTTCTTTCTCCAATCTCAGTCTTTCTTCATCACAGCTGACAACCGCTTCTAATGCCGACAAATCAGAAGCCTCGATCTCCCTTGTAAGGTGAAAGATATCCATGTGTTCTGGAATTGGGAGTTCTCTGCATCCTATAGCTGCCAAAAGAGTGGACTTTCCACAGCCATTCAGCCCAAGCAAACCATAGCGCCTGGAGGAAACAGAGATATTAAGAGAGCTTTTGGGCATTTATGTAGTGAGATCGCAGATGGGTGAAGAAAATGCATGATCCCAGGGAAGCAGCTTACCTTCCATAATTGAGCTCCAATTCGGAATCAACTATGAGATCGTGGCCGTGGAAGGTAACAGATAAGGATTCTATCTGCATCACACGATGATAAGTGACAAAAGGTCAGAGAAGGAACATCAACATTTCAGTAACAAAGAATTATGGCTTTGAAACATTCCACGTTCTATTGACTCCCAAACAAAAATGTTAAATGATCAAGCAATATTCTTGTTTCTTTATTTTTCCTTCCTCATTTCTCTGTATTACAGAAGATATCATTAAAGGTCAACCCTCACACGCATGCACACAGCCACACACGTGATGCACACAAGTAAAACATGGAACTGGCAAATTCAAACTTCCACCAATAAATTACGCCAAATATAACAGTAAGTATCAATATTGACAAAATTGATCGTGGAGACTTCATATAGCCACAAAAAATAATAAAAGATAATATCTGGATTAAGATATGATGCTGCTGTCATTGAAATCTAATGATCAAGAGAACCACTGTGATCCAGTTGTTACTGGCATACAGGGAACGAGTACAAAACTATTCAATAAATATGAGTTTCAGCAATATGTTTAAAGTAAATGGGAAATTTAAGAAGCAACATTCCAAACACATACTCCCTACTCACAAAACAAAAATTCTATCTGAAATTCCCTTGTGTGTAAAGATATCCCCAATGAAATTTATATATGCCATATCCTACTATAAGAAAATGCAGGATCGTCAACTGAAGGATCGAAAAGCGGTATTAGATTTTACAGAATTAGTCCAAGAAACAAACTTAATAGGCATAATACAAAGAAGTAATCCATAGGTGAGTAATGATTGGGTCAGTAATGATCATAATTAGTGTGTCAAATGACAAGTGCCAATCTTAGCACATCTGAGAGCATCATAAATCAGGATGTAACCACTCAACTGACCTACACGACTTTAGGGGACAATCACAGCCCTTAGATAAGGGCAAGAGTGTTGTATTAAGTTTCTTCAACCCCTGTATCTGAGACTAAAAATTAAGAAGAGTGACAACCTTTATAGAGGGTGGTTTATAGGTTCTCAAGTGCTGCTCAATTCGAGGTTTAAAAATATCCAGCCAATAAAAAAAAATCCCTCCCTCCCTACATCCGAAATCATGGCCAATACATATCTTTGTTTTTCTTTTCCTTTTTTTTAAGAAAGCTGTCGTGGTTAATCAAGTCAGATGCAATAGCACAACTTGTGACAGGTGAAAATATTTTTCTTAGGAGATGTTCCAAGATTCCCAAGAAGAACTTAATACTTCCCAGATAGAATCACCTCGGTCCTTAACTTTCCATTTCTAAGAATACATTTCTAACAATTTATCATGGAAAGAAAAAATAATTTCTAACAAGTTCTAAATATGTTCCAACCATTCATTCAAAGAATCTCGTACTATAGAACTTTGGGAGGAGCTCCATAAAATCCTTTTTTTTGGGCTGGGGGAGGGGGGGCACGGGGCGGATGTTAACTATTGCATTGCTGAAGAGGTAGAACGGTGAAATGAAGCACCCACATAGCGGGTGTACGTATCCAAAAACTTCTACAGGGCCCACAAAATGCTATACATGCCATTTTACAAAAACATAATACAAAAGACAAATAGAGCTCAAAGAGGTGCTCAAAGGACTCCGAAACAATCTGCTGTGAGGCTCCATCTTTAGCAAGGGTGTCGGCTGTGGTGTTGGCCTTGCATTGCTGAAGAGGTAGAACGGTGAAATGAAGCACCCACATAGCGGGTGTACGTATCCAAAAACCCCTACAGGGCCCACAAAATGCTATACATGCATGATTACAAAAACATAATACAAAAGACAAATAGAGCTCAAAGAGGTACTCAAAGGACTCCGAAACAATCTGCTGTGAGGCTCCATCTTTAGCAAGGGTGTCGGCTGTGGTGTTGGCCTCCCCTCCAGATATGCTGATAAACCATATATGTATCCCTGCAAACGTTAATGATTTCATCAAAGATGCAAGCCTATCTCCAGGCGCAAGACGAAGATCTCGAAGCCCAACCTATGATGTTTTTGGAATAACACTAAATAATAAGAGTGTTATTGCCCAATTTGCACAATCTTGGGGCTGCAGGGTAGAGTCTCTACCAGCCTCCTACCTTGGCCTACCCATTTGCTTAGGAAAATTAAAGAAAAATATTTGGGAACACATCATCGACAAGTTTGACTGCAGATTTGCTGGTTGGAAGGCCATTTCCTCTCTTCAGCTGGGAGAACCACGCTCATTAAGGCAATCTTATCAAATGACCCTTTGTCACATCCCAGCCTCAATCACTGCATGACTAGAGCAACTAATGAGAAATTTCCTTTGGTCGAGGGACGGTTCAGCCAACAAATACCACATAGTCACATGGGAGAAGGTATGCAGGCCAAAAGGCACAGGTGGGTTGGGCATTTGGAGTTTGAGAAACTCCAATACTGCTCTATTATCCAGATGGTGGTGGCACCTTTTTACCCAAGAGGGTCACCATTGGCAGGAGGTTCTATCCTGCAAATACCACATCAAACTCATCTAGATGGATGCCCCCTTGCCACACCGATAGCCTCTCATTTGGTTTTTGGCGCTCCATCATCCGATGCTACGACCTTTACGAGGCCAATGCAAGAATCCTCCCTCGATGTGGCAGCAAAACTCTTTTCTTTTCTGGATGAATATTTGGGTAGGTCACACCCCCCCGAGGTACTCTTTCCCTGACCTCTTTCTCCTTGCTACAAACAAAGTTGTTTCCTTCCTCGACCACTTACCCAATTGAGCCACAATCACTCTTGGACACCCATTTTTAGGCACTATTTACATGACCAAGGATTAGGGTCTTTCCTCCAACTCTAAGCACTCTTGCAACCCATCTATCTCCCTCTCACAGGCGAGGATAGACTCATCTGGAAACTCAACTCTTCGGGTTGTTGCTCTGTGGATTCGTGCTACTTGGCCTCAGCTGCTTCTCACAATCCCCCGCAGGCCTTCCCTTCTTCGGCCAAAGCACTTTATCCCACCAAAGTCACATGTTTTCAATTGGCTGACCATCTTACCAAAGGGTGCTCACTGTGGATCAATTGCAAATGTATGGTGTTCCCTTGCGTAACCGATGCCCCATGTGTTTATGCGCTAAGGAGAGCGAACCTTTTCTTCACTGCACCATTGCTCAATTCCTTTTGGGGCAGTTCCTGAAACTCTTTTGCTAAACTAGGGTCACCCCCAGTCTGTCCCCAGTCTCTTTAACCTCTCTCAATTTCTCCCATAACCTGAACAAGGGACTATCTTATGGAAGGCCAGTTTCAGCCACCCTGTGGTTCATTTGGATTGAACAAAACCACAGAATTTTCAGAGGAGGAAGCATTTCACCTGAACACCTCAAAGAAAAAATTCTAACTATGGTCATCTTTTGGAGCAAGAACCACAAACGTTTTAAGGCCAACTTATCAGCGGACTTCCAGTACAATTGGCAGGTGCTATGCCACTCCACCTCTTCAAGGGTCGTTCATTACCTGCTATGGAGACCTCCAAAACAGGCCTGGATCAAATTGAATTTTGATGGCTGCTCCCTGGGTAACCCAGGACCAGCCGGGGTTGGAGGATTGTTCAGGGACCCTTCTAGCTCAACTATTCTTGCTATCTCCAAACCCTTTGGTCGTGCTGATAGTACCACAGCATAGGCCAATGCTTTACTCGAATGCCTAAGAGTTTATAAGACTGAGTGGGCAAACCAAATTGCCATTGAAGGTGACGCTAAATCCATCATCTCTTAGGCTTTGGGCTCCGCTGTTCAACCCTGGAGGCTGGCCCACATTTTCGATGACATTTTCAACATTACTTGCCAAATCCACAATTCATGACCCACATTTGGCATGAAGGCAACTCCCTGGCTGATGCTTTAGCGGAAGAGGGAGTAGCATCTACTCCTGGGAATGGGCCTCACGAGTTTTTGTTGGCAGCTATAGTCTTGATCTTTATCACAAAGTGCATGTATAGAATTTTTGTATCTACCTCACCTTCTAAGTGATATTCGACCTAATTAAGGGGTCTTTTTTTGTATATTTACTTCTCATACTCAATACCAGTAAACTTTTCTCAAAAAAAAACCTCCACAAAGGATGAAATTTGCGTAGGGCCACAAGAAGGGCTAAAGCTTCAGCCATGGCAGAGTTGGTGTCTACGACAACGAGGGAATAAGAGAGAATAGAATTTCCAATGGAGTTTCTGAAAATATCCCCAATTCCTGCAGGGCAGGGTTGCCGAGGGAGCAGCCGTCGAAGTTGCGCTTCACTTGGTCTTGGTCCCACTCAGGTGGTCTCCATAAAGAGGAACAAGAGACCATCGCTGCTCTAAGGAGCCAGCAAATTTCTTCTATTGAGATGGAAATCCAAAAAGGAATAATGCTGGAATGACTTGTTGTTTTTGGTCAAAAAGGTCACTAAGGATGTCACCTTTTCTAACATGGCCATGACAATAGTGGATTTACCTCTAAGGATCCGACTGTTGCTCCAACCAATAACCCAAAATGTTGCTGCAACAGAGGCATGGCACAGGTAGCTACCGTATTTGGTCCATGGCGGAGAGAGGAAGGCCTGGATGTCTTTTGGATGGTCTGAAGTGACAGCTCTCTCAAAGAAGATAATCTAGCTAAACATTTTCATCTTGGGTCGGATGAGAGAAAACCGAGCTCTACCCACTAAAGAGGGGTGGTGGTTGGGAGGGGAGGTAGGTTGCGGGAGAGCTTTGTAGAAAGAAGAGACCAAGAAAGTACATCGATCCCTAGGGAGGGAAGGAAGATAGAGAGAAGGATGGTGGATAGAGCTAGAAATTCAGGAATCTCCAGGTCCGAGAGAGGTCTTCTGAAGCTAGAATTCCTCACTCTCATGCAGCCCAACAATTGAAAGCTATATGCTACAGTGGCGAGAGTGTTTCGAGCGACCCAAAAGAGATAGGGAAACCTATCTTTGAGTAGGGCCAGGACTAGCCACAGGTGGGACCAAAAGAGGAACCAATGGCCTTGGCAGAGGTAGAAACAGAGGCTACTAGTGAGGGGGGGGGGGGGGAAACAGTG